CCAACCTTGGTGAAAATTTTGAAACTAACATTGAGAAGGCAGATCGGCCTGAACTACTCAATTCTCACAACCTCCATTTTCTTAGGAAGCAATGTTATTGTTCCAAAATTTAAGTGAAATAACTAAAGCTATCCAGAGAATAGATCATGGAACATTGGTAGCAAATCCCCCTTGATAATATGCCAACACTTTTTATAAAACTCCGCCGGAAAACCATCCGGCCCTGGAGCCTTATTGTTTTTCATCTGCGCAATAGCTTCAAACACCTCTTTCTCCGAGAACGGGGCAACCAGAATATCATTATCACCAGCAGTGAGTTGAGGCACATCCTCAATCCCAGACTCATCCAGGGACACACAATTATCCTCCGGAGGGCCAAACAACTGCTTATAGTACTCGGTTATGTATAATTTGCACTGTTCAAGATATCTTCCGATATTCCGATAAATCAGCCAATTTATCGCTTACCGTTGTTTGGCCGATAAGATAAATCAGCCGATAAATTAGCCGATATGGCGATAAATCGGCCGATATGCCGATAAACTGGCCGATTTACCCCTTATCTTGGGTCGGCCGATATGTTCCCGACAAGCGATATCCCCAACATTGATAATTTGAGGTTATCCTGTCCTAAAATAGTTCCCTCATCTTGTTCAAGCTGAAAGATTCTCTTCTTTCTATGCTTGCCATTAGCGATCAAGTGAAAGAATTGAGTGTTCGCGTCCCCCTAGACAACTTTGCGGACTTCAGCCCGCAACGCCCACTTTAATTCCTCTTCACGGAGAAGCTCTTTTAGCCTCATCTCCGCTTCAAGTTTAGCATGAAGCTCCGTGGCTTGCAAAATCGTGGACTCGGCTTTTAAATCTAAGGACTGAATAAGTGAAAGGAGCCTTTCCTTTTCAACTTTATAAATCCCACTAAGGTGCTTAGCCCACCCTCGTAAGAAACTTCTCAAATGCCTGATCTTGTTCTGCCAGCGCTCAACAGAAGTCCTACCTCCTGCATCCTTAGCCCATTCCCTGGCTATTAGATCCAAGAAGCCTTCACGTTCAAACCATGCCAGCTCGAATGAAAAGGGATTTTTGTTTTCTACGTGGTTTGGCTCCCCCAAGTCCACGAATAAAGGCGTGTGATCATAAATACCACGAGAGAGAGCCTGGACCGTTACCAAAGGGAATTTCTGTTCCCACTCGACGCTCGCTAGGACTCGATCTAGCTTCTCATACATCGGGTTTGGCAAAGCATTATCCCAAGTAAATTTTCTACCGGAAAGCTCTATCTCTCTCAGATCCAAGCTTGCAATAATGGTATTAAACATAAACGACCATTTGCCGTCAAAATTGTCATTATTCTTTTCCTCTCTCCTTCTAATGATATTGAAGTCACCCCCAACTAAAATTGGGAGCTGCTCAGAGCCGCAAATTCGGACAAGATCCGCAAAAAACTCTGGTTTAAGTTTGGGCTGTGTGGCACCATAAACCGCCACCAGAGCCCAGTTAAACCCATCAGCTTTGGATCTAATCCGGAACTTAACCGCGAAGTCACCCATCACTACACTTCGGACTTCCAGCGAATCGCATCGCACTCCAAGTAAGATCCCACCCGATCTTCCTCGCGGAGGCAGGCAATGCCAATCAAAATCGACACCGCCCGATAAAGTATTGAGAAACTGCGGCGCAAAATTATCTCTACCAGTTTCCGAAAGAGCAATAAAATCCAATCTATGCTCGATAGAAGCGTCTGCAAGAAACCTACGTTTAGCCAAGTCTTTTAGACCTCTGCTATTCCAAAATATTCTTTTCATATTTCGTCATGAATTTTTTAGAGGTACGGATCCTAGCACTCCTGCGCACCGCCGAAGCCGGGTAAATCTTCCTCTTCCACTTGCGTTTAGTTTTGTTTTGATCCTTCACCCAGTCCTCACAACCGGGCTCTGTGGATCTAGCTACTTCACCCTCTATAGTGTCATCCTCTTCCTCAGACTCAGGAAAGGATGACGCAAGGTCCGCACAGAAGTTATCCAGTACCCTGACTCCCAATGCATCAATATCGGAGTCATTCATGGGTTTTACCGCTGCTAAGTTTTGAATCATTTCTAAAGCAGGCTCCGCTTCTAGATCTAGCAAATCATTTACAGAATTAGAAATTTCACTATCATTACTACCTAGTGAAACACCTAATTGATTTGCATTATTAATAATCTCATCATCTGAAAAATGCAAAATTGAATTAGCGGTATTGACCGGCATACCAGTGGTGACCTCAATGTCATGAAGCTTGGCCGCCCGCATGGCGCACCTGTGTTGCATGGCGTCAACCTTTGGAAGATCCTGGAGCCGGCGACTCATCCGCCGTCCCTCAGATACTGGATCCGAAATCCCTCCGAACGCGATCACTTCCTCCCGAGAGGGCCTACAGACATCAAGGCCTCCTGCCCTGCCCGTATGCCCCGCCGATGTCCGCCTGGAACCGACGCCATGGGGCTCAAGTGCGCCGGGGGAGAGGAGTATGTGGGCCTCCTGCCCGAACTCCCCACCCGTCCCGACCCTCTGGCTGGGAGGCGTCACAGGCGCCATGGTCTGTGCGGCCACAAAGGCCACCTGAGGAGAGGAGGGAGCCGCAGCCACCTGTCCATAGCCCCCTCCCCTAGGCTCAACCACCGCCGTCGGAGAGGCCACGATCAGAGTGGGAGAAAGAGAGGCCACCTGCCCAGACTCCTTCCCCCTCCATCGGCCGAGGCCACCAGAGAGCAGGCCACCTCCGCTACCTCGAGCACCGGATCCTCAGCAGCGGCAGAAACCAGCGGAGGGAGCGTATACTCCAGCTCATCATCGGCCTCCACCCGGTCACTCCAAAGTCTGGGAGGGGCAGAAGCTGGCTCAAACGGCCCAAATCTCAGCGTGTTCATCGGCACTGAAGGGGAGGATGCTATCCCGTCCACGGTTGTCTGAGCAGCGGGCCTTGAACTGTTGGACATCTTACGTCCAGCATCAGCCCCGGGCGCCTCCTTGGCCGCAGAACTATCATCTCCCTCGTGCATGTCTGTATCAGTCCCATTGATGGCGTCAGCGAAAAGCTCGGTATCCTCAAACTCAATCTCAAGTGGGAACATTTCGCCCCGATATGTCCACATAACCACATCAGGCACAAACTCAATATCCCGAACACTCACCAATAGACGAGCCACCCCGTGAGCTCGGGTAAAGGCCATATCCACTCGCTCAGTCTTCCCTACCAAAATGCCCAAGCTAGCAACGACCTCAGCGTCCTGCATCGGCTTCGAGGGAGCTCCAGAGAAACGTAACCACACCCGAGTAAGAGGCTTGCCCTTTGGCTCAACCTTCTTCCACTCGTGGAACTCCAGAATACACTCTGTGCCAGGCACACGACATAGCCCGAAACTCAAAAGTCTCTGCAAATCCTGAACAAAGGGGAAGTCAACCATATACATGTTGCCCTCAAGACTGACAAGCTCCCAGTGGTAGTCATCTGGAACTAACTCCATAAGCCTCTGCACAGTCTGAGACTCGGAGACATCACATTTGGTCACTTTCACAATTTCAATAGTCAAATGGCTGTAACTTTTTCTAATGTAATATATATATAGTACACAACCATTTTCCTATAAGATATTCTTCACCCGAGGTAATCTTATGATTATTTCATAATTAAATTACGTTTGAAATTCAAATAGTTACATTCCTATTGATTCACTACGTAAAATTTGATATAAGAAAATAAAAATATAAGTCATAAGATAAGAAAATTTGTAGTTTATGTGTATTTTAGACTATGTTTTTACATTTGTAATTTTACATAATATAAAATATTTTTTACGGCGATTATATATACACACACACTTAGACAACCACTCCTAATTTGTGCTGCAGGAGTTTGTCCTGAATTCAGTCAGTCGGGTTGATCTCACGAAATTGATGAGCTAACTGTGGCATGGAATCTTCTGCGCATCAAACCGTAATAATACCAACAAAAAGTATTTGAATTATCACTTGGATTTCATTGTCCATATAAAGATTATAGTGCCTGCATTTACTTGATATAATCTGCAAACCATGCACTACTAGTTGGCATATATAGCAGACAATGGAACAAAGATAGACAAGGAGGACTTGAATTTCACATGGGTAGTCTTGTTGATAGAATTTGTTTGGTCTTGTGCACATGGAGCCTTCACTTGGATCCTCCTCCCAGGAACACCACTAACAAGAACTTTGGTGCTCAGCGTTTGTCAATCTTTGCTGAAGACCAGGGGGCTGGTGGTCAGTGCAGCGTGGGTGGGGGGCTCGGGCGACGCGGTGTCCCTGTGAGCTGCCATGCCCAATCTGGGGGCTTCTCTACTCCCACAGGTGCGGCGGCTCGCACGGACCGGCGGCCAGCGGGCACCATAGCCTGTGATTGTTCTGTCGTCCCTTGTAAACAATTACTATCTTCTTGCTATAAAAACATGGCACGCTCTCAAAAAAAAAACACAAATGATAAATACAACACATGTGCGTGGCATAAAGCATTTCAGCCCTAACATTTTTTACAACTAAACTTGTCATTCAAAAAACCCAAAAAATACTGAAACTTGCCATCTGAAAAGAAATTTGTCATGCTTGACAACTAAAGTAGCCATCTTCGCGTCACTAAACTTGTCATCAAAACGTTCAGAGTTGTCATGTGTTCGTGCCACACGAATGTCACTTATCAAGGTCAAAAAGAAACAGTAAAACAACAATTTATAATGATGCATCATCCTCCATACTAACTTATTACCACAAATCATCAAACGAAATTGTCACAAGCATGATTCTAGTCAACATTACATTTTTCTTTTTGATTTTTTTGAGGCATCTAGTCTAGTTATTATATAACACTATTAATAAAGATACATATGCTTGGCCCCCTACTTGTCACAGCCTGCTGTCACCAAAGCACTCCTCCTTACGCACTCGGCATATTGCAGCTCTGTCTTGTTGGAAACATATATTGTAGATTCAATCAAGAAAGCAATCATCATCACTGTCCTCCTCCACGTAAGGAAACCGCACATCCTCGAGTCCACCCAAGTAGCCACCACATGTGGGATGCCTGAGCTTCCTTGCATGCTGATTGCACCCAAAACAACAACCTTCACGCGAGAAAAATATGTACTGTATATATTAGTATATATGCTAACAAAAAGTCAAGACAATTAGAGCAAAAGCGAAATAGTTACCAGAGTCCGTATCTTCCAAAGGAGTGCAGAGAATAACATGCTCTTGCAAGAAGCAACCATGGAGCATCTCAGCAAAGAACAAAGTGGGTCTGCCATCCACACCTTTTGCAACAAAGTTGGAATGCACATATCCTGCTGCAACTCCACCAACTAGATTCCTTTCTTTCTCTTCCACAAATTCCAAGTCAGTAATCTGAAATATAACGACAGTCGAGCACTTATTAATATATACGGTGGCTAAGAGGAATGGAAGGAAACATAAATATTTTAATTATGATATTTTTGGACATGCCTGCATATTGTTTCGCTTGGCATATGTGTTGAGCGCTACAACCAAGCTCTTGCGGTTACGCTCTTGTTTGCGCTTCATCAGCTCCTCGGGGGCGGTGACTTGGGCCTCAGGCTCATGTGGCGCTCGGCGCAAGCAAGCCAAAAATCCTGGAACTCATGAAACTCTTTTAAAGCGGAACCATCCAATGTCTGTAGTGTGTCAAAGTCGTTACTGCATGCATGAAAAAAAGACAAATTAGTATGTAACCTCAATTAGTTGTAATGACACAGGTTGCCTGAGCTGATATATTACTCCGTGGTTGTTTAATTTGAACTGCAAAAACGTCTTACATTTAGGAACGGAGGTACTACATTACTACACCAAAATACTACCTACTAGTGTGAGTTTTAACACCTCCAGTCCGAAAATGTAAAGCTTATTTTGTTTGGTGAAAATCAACCAAATTGAATCTACTGGCATTCACTTTATGCCATATGTCCATCAATCTCTTGAATGCATCTTCTGATATTATCGATTCTTTCTTTTATACTGTATACAAGTTCAAAACATGCAGGCACGATAGTCACAAAGGTTGCATTAAAATGTCTGCATACGTACATGGTAATTTCTCCATATATCGACGACATGGCCACCGATGGATCTACCGCTCCTGCATCAGATCAGATATATAATTAACAGCAGGAATTAACTAGATGTGTCAGCACGCTAGGCTAATCCACGCCACACATCGGGTGAATCCACCTGTGTAACTGGAGAGATGCTGTAAATCACAAGGACGGGCGGCGTTACCTGTAACTGGGGAGATGCAGGGAAAGGGTGCGTGGCGAAGAAAAGAGGAGATCGCCGGCGATGAGATCAAATCGCCTCTGCCGGCTTTTTCTTTCCTGCTTTTTAATTTATGGGAAACGTTTAAAATCGGCGTGCCGGCCGAAACTTCGGCCGGCCGCATAGCTCACACGCGCGTTACGCTCGTACACACAACCACGTTGCTCTGGTCCCACGCACCGCTTCCTGCCTCTCACCTTATCTTCTCAGGACCAAGCTCCTCCACTCATTCTGTCCTCCACTCGTTCCATCCTCCTCCTCATACGCATTCCCTCCTCCGCTTCTTCTTTCTCAAATCACTTCATACATGGCATCTCATGCTCCACGCAGAGACGGCGCGTACAGCCGTCGATTTTTTTGTTGCCATGCTCGGCCCAACCTCTCCCATGTCGCAGTGTAGGCCATGTTCGCTGCCACCGTGGTTCCGGCATGCTTTTTTGCTGCATAATTTGTGCTGGAACCGCAATTTGTTTTTGCTGGAAGCATCTTTCGTTTTTGCTGCATATTGAGAGGATGCTGGTGCCTTCGCTGTATGATTTTTTGCTACATCCATTTTTCTTGCTTGAACCGCTCCATTTTTTCCTGGAACCAGAGCTCGACTTTGCTACAATGCTAGGACGGTGGCTGCCAAGCATTTTGCTGCATCGATTTTTTTGGCTGGAACTAGCAATTAGTTTTGCTACATCCAGCCGAAAGCAGAGCTGAAACTGGTGAGATTTTTGTCTAAGACCATTGGCGGCAGCGCATTTTTTGCTGGAACTGTGTTATTTTTTTGCTGGAATAGTTTTTCATTTATGCTACCACTAGCGAAAACCATTTTTTTGTTGTTGAAGCATTTTTGCTGGAACCAGCAACCACGAAAGCTACAACCGGTTAACAATTTTGCTACAATGGCGACGGCGGGCGACATCGACGAGCTTTTTTTTGCTGGAACCGACACCCTTTTTTGCTACAACTGGATGACATTTTTGCTGCTACCGGCAATCTGAGGGAGAGTACAGGTTTTTTGCGAGCTCGTCGGAGGAGGTGCTGCGCCCGGCGACCGCCGTGCGCCGGGGATGCGGCGGCCGCCACCGGAGCTGTGACTGTCGAAACGGGGACCTGCAACTATAGGGACAAGCTGCTGCATTCACGGAGCCGGCGAGAAACAAAAGAGACGACGACGGCAACGGCGGCGCCGGCGGCCGGCAAGGGCGGCGACAGGCGAAATACGCCGGGCAGAGCTTCTAGATCGGGCGCATCGCTCGTCCCTGACGGCGCGATGGGATTTTTTATCAGAGAACAATAAGACAGAGGAGGAAGGGTAGGAGATCGTGCGGTTCATTTTTGCAGATCGTACGGTACCGGTGCGACCGGCCCAAATTTGGGCCGGCGCACCGGCGCCTATCAGTCGCCTTAATTTATTATATGGTCTTATCTCAAGGAAGAGGAAGACTTGTATAAGTAGGAGTATACAAGAAGAGCCACGCCGGCCCAGTTCAACTCGGTCTGCCTGCTGCTTTCCGAAAAGGCCTGGGCCTGGGGTGCACGGGACTAACAACGGATTCGAACCGGATTCTGTAGTAAATAAACCGGGCTACTGTGGTGGCCAAATTTAATTGTTTCTATGCTCAAATTTTTTTTAATTGTTTCTAGAACATTTTGAGTTTCAAATTTGTCAAAAGTTTCTGTATATGTGAACATATTTTAATATTTTGAAAACGGAAACCAACATTAAAATTTTGTAAACAATTTCTGAAAATTAAATATTTCATGTTTCTGTATATTTTTTAATCCAAACTTTTTTTAAAATTCTGAACACGTTTTAACACACGAATGCTTTCTCAAATTTTTAATTTTTTCTAAAACATGAAAAAAATCGAATTTGTGAACTTATTTTTAAGATGCAAACATTTTTCTAAAGCTCTTTTTTTATTTTTGGACTTTCAATAAAAAGCTAAAAAAATTGGAAAATAAAATCATAATTCCAGTGTTCCTAACAAACAAACAAACAAAAATTGTTCCAGGGTTCCTAAAATAATAAAAACAAACAAACAAAAACCAGAACTAGAATACACATTAAATGGGCCAGCCCGACCCGATCGCTTTGACTCTTAATGCGTCAAATAGGAAACATGGAGTGCATACTCCATCTCCGTCACCAGAGTCGACACCCTACAACCAGATATGAAGCCACCGATCCAACATCCACGCCAGTCCTAAAGCTGCACATCGGCCCCGTCCGCAAGTCAGTCATCCAAGCAACCAACTACGACACTACACGTCTGGACTCTTTTGATAGCTTTTCTCACTATTCTCAAAATGAGGGATTGGGATGGATCAGCGAGAAAGTGTTGTTTTGATCCCCGGGCTTATGTGAGCTCGACTGAACAGTAAAAAAGGAAAAAAAATGATGCTCCAAAATGCTTTTCTTCGTGAAATGGACAAATGTTTATCTGCATACATAATGTAGAACTGACAAATATAAATACCCCACGCGAAAAATGACCGTTGCCAGCAGACACCCATGGGCACCAGGACGTACCCAAACCAAACAAAGAAAGCACGGCTTGTCGTGGGCACCCGAAGGACAGAGGCCCCGGGATACCCGGACATAACATCCGCTAGGCAGAGGGGAGGGGAGGGCAGGGTCCAGGACCCCGGGCACACGAACTGTCTAGAGACTTGGCGCATACTCTGGGCACCCAGGGGTCCAGGGACCCCCCGGGACCCATACAAGGCCGAGCCTAGACAATTTCCTCTCGTGCCTATGGGCACCCTGGGTCAAAGGACTCCAGGTGCTCGAAACAAATTGCAAATCCAGGAAACACCCAAAACTGCCATAGCTTTTGCAAATGAACTTTGATTTTGATGAACTCAAGCTTAATAGAAAGCTGGCGACAAGACCTTCCAAAAGAATATACTAAAGATCTAGAAGTATGAAATCTCCATAAATGAAGAACCGACAAAACCTCCAACCTCAAAAACGTAATAGAAGATGCATAGAAAGTCCATTTGAGGTTGTCATGAAGATAACCACAAGCTCTAAAACCTCATATAGAGAAAAGCCAAACAAGAACCAAATAAGATGATGCCAAGGATGCAAATGTTTGAGCTCTCTATGAATGATACGATCAAGCTACTCACTAGAGAATGTTGGGGAACGTAGCAGAAATTCAAAATTTTCCTACATGTCACCAAGATCTATCTATGGAGAAACTAGCAACGAGGGAAGAGAGTGCATCTACATACCCTTGTAGATCGCTAAGCAGAAGCGTTCAAGTGAACAGGGTTGATGGAGTCGTACTCGTCGTGATTCAAATCACCGATGATCAAGTGCCGAACGCATGGCACCTCCGCGTTCAACACACATACAGCCCGGTGACGTCTCCCAAGCCTTGATCCAGCAAGGAGAGAGGGAGAGGTTGAGGAAGACTCCATCCAGCAGCAGCACAACGGCGTGGTGGTGGTGGAGGAGCGTGGCAATCCTGCAGGGCTTCGCCAAGCACCGCGGGAGAGGAGGAGTACTTGTGAGAGGGGGAGGGCTGCACCAGAACTTCATCTATAGCTCCCATGCGCCTCCCCACTATATATAGGGGTGGAGGGGGCTGGTTTCTTGCCCTCCAAGTCCATTGGGGCGTTGGCAAAGGTGGGAGGAAAGAAATCCCATCATTTCCTTCCCCACCGATTGCTATCCCCCCTTTTTAGGGATCTTGATCTTATCCCTTTGGGATATGATCTTATTCCTTCTAAGGGGGGATCTTGGTGCGCCTTGACCAGGGGTGTGGGGCCTTTCCCCCACTACCCACGTTCATGTGGGTCCTCCCATGCAGGTGGGCCCCACTCCAGAACCTTCTAGAACCTTCCCGGTACAATACCGAAAAATCCCGAACATTTTCCAGTGGCCAAAATAGGACTTCCCATATATAAATCTTTACCTCCGGACCATTCCGGAACTCCTCGTGACGTCCGAGATCTCATCCGGGACTCCGAACAACATTCGGTAACCACATACAAACTTCCTTTATAACCCTAGCGTCATCGAACCTTAAGTGTGTAGACCCTACGGGTTCGGGAGACATGCAGACATGACCGAGACGTTCTCCGGTCAATAACCAACAGCGGGATCTGGATACCCATGATGGCTCCCACATGTTCCACGATGATCTCATCGGATGAACCATGATGTCAAGGACTTAATCAATCCCGTATACAATTCCCTTTGTCTAGCGGTATTGTACTTGCCCGAGATTCGATCGTCGGTATCCTTATAC